AGATATGGTCATTTGTTCTGGGAATGGCATTTTCGAGCCTGAGACCTGAAAAACAGGCTCAGGGCTCAACAGGTTAAAACAGGAATAATGCTGGAAATGACAATAAAAACCTTATTTTACAGAATATTTTAAATATAAAACCATCTCCTTCATAAAGTAGATATATTTGATTCAGTTCTTAATGATCGTTCAGCAGCATTCACGAACATTTCAAAATTCGGACTTTTTTCAAAAAATCCGAACTTCTTCAAAATTTGGACAATCAAAAAAAATCCAACATTTTTATATTTTTTCTGAAAAGCCCAAATTCTAAATCTTTGCTCAAGATTCAGACTTTTTCAATAAATCTCAAATTCCTCTATTTTTTCAGAAAAATGTTAAATGTAGACTTTTTTCTAAAAATCTCAGAATTTTGACTTTTATCTGAAAAACCCAAATTCTTATTTTTTTCACAATAATGCAAATTCTCAAATGTTATCTCAAAATCTCAGAATTCTGAGTTTTATCTGAAAATCCCACATTTTAAGTTGTTCCTCAAAATCAGACTTTTTTCAGAAAAGCCCATCATTTTGACTATTATCTAAAAATCAAAAATTTGAATTTTCTCTCATCTTCAAACTCTTTTCTCAAAATCTCAGAATTTGACTTTTATCTGAAAATCCAAAATGTGATTGTTGCCCCTAAAATGGAGAAATCTGAAACCAACTCTTCAAACCTCATAAAGTCACAGAAACCTTCAGTGGTAAAACCTTCAGGTCACACAAAGTTTTAAAGTATGGGAACATCCTCTCAGTGAAAGTGTGTGTGAAGGTGTGTATGTGTGTGTTAGAGTCAAGATCAGAGAACCACAGCTTTCCTCCATTATAGTCCAGATTCACTCTGACCCTCCGAGGCTCCTTTTGAACTGAGAGAAGAGTTTCTGGATGTGATGGAGAGGATGCTGTGTATTTACCAAACAAGTCAAAACATATTCCCCATAATCCAGACTCTATGTCTCCCTTGCTCTGTGCAGACTCTGCTAACACACCCAGTTCCCAGAATATATTGTCTCCAACCTGAACGTCCCAGCTGTGAGTCCCTGAGTCAAAGCCCTCAGAGCTCAGGACAGAGCAGTAATCATCAAACCTCTCTGGATTATCAGGAAGTTCCTGCCTCCCTCCTCGTCTCATAGAGGTCAGATCTTCAGACAGGAAGAGTCTTAGACCAGCAGTGTTTGGGTCCAGGATGAGAGGAGAGTAGGACACCATGTCCTTCATCTTGCTCCAGATGTTGAAGCTGAGGTTGCCCAGGTGTTTGGCCTGGTCTATCAGAGCTCCTGAGGGCAGCTGTGGATCCTCCAGCAGGGGGCGCTGCAGCCTCTCCACTGCAGCCTTGTAGTTGAGCAGGAAGGAGACGTCTTCAGCTCTCAGCTCCTTCTCTGTGGCTCTGACTGTGTGTGAAAGAGCTGCTATCTCTCTGCTCACAGCCTCCATCTTCTTCTTCATCATCTTCCTCTTCAGCTCCTCTTCCTCCCTCAGTGTAGCCATCCTGGCCTCCTCTTCCTCTTCTAGAAACTGGTGAAGCTTCTTAAACTGCTCCTTAATCTGCGTCTCAGTGTGTTGAGCCTGGACCTCCATGTGTTCTGCTGTTTGATCAAACTCCACTTTAACTCGTTCAAAAGTCTCTAACTTCTTCTTCAGAGGCTGCAGAGACTTCTGGAGCTCCTTCCTGTGTTGTCGTGCAGCTTCATCGATGGGTCTGATTCTGTGGTCGCTGTGTTTCTCTGAATCTCTGCAGACGAGACACACTGGCTGCTGATGGTCCAGACAGAAGAGTTTGAGTCTCTCAGAGTGCAGACTGCAGAGAGCCTCTGGAGATCTCTGACCTCTCTCCTCTAAGAAACTCTCACACAGGTTCTTTAAAGTAAAGTTAGCAGGAAGTGAGTCCTTGGAAAATCGTCTCTTACAAAGTGGACACTCCTTCCCTTCTGTCTTGGTCCACCAGCTCTGCAGACAGTCTCTACAGAAGCTGTGGCAGCAGGACAGGATGACGGGATCTCTAAAGATGTCATGGCAGACCGGACAGCTGAGGTCTCTCTCTAATCTGGAAGCCATTCTCCGGTTGAAGCTGAAAACTCGGTAGCCGTCTGTTTGCCTTCAACAGGAAATCAGTTCAACTTGATGATAAGATATCCTCTTCAAAGCGTCTCTGTTCTGTTGCAGCTTGTTGAAGTATCCCCTCCTTACCGTTACCTTCTGAGCGGACAGAGGCTTTGTTCTGCGGTGAACCTGACCGCCTGGCTCTCGGTGTGTCTGCTGTACAACAAGGCGACCTTTGTCCTCTTGTTAGGAGCGGCAGGTGCGTCACATGAGGGCGGAGGTTTGTTCGCGCACTTGGAATCTTGATTTATTTTTAAGGATTGTTCTACCTTTTTTAATAGAAAGTAAAAATGACCCGTCAGTAGAGTAGATTCATAAATATATGGTGGTGCAGTTTGTGGGGGTTTTGATATACCTTGGCTTCAGTAACCTCCTGTTGTGTTTCTGAGGTCGTCTTTCTGAACTCAGCCCTTTATCACTTTATGGTTTTATCACTCTGAATTGCCTGTGAGGAAATCTCATGAAAAGTTGAGTCTTTTGTTAATCTCGTATATCCAGGGTCAAAGTTCATCCCTAAATGAAGCTCGACAAATGTGGTCAAATGTCTTAATTCAAGCTAAAGCACTTCTGAACTCTTATATCTATGTATATATATATACTTATTTTAAGTCGCTGTGGATAAAAGCATTAGCTCGACCAAATAAACATGAACTGGGTATGTTTAATATCTACTTGTGATCTGCTGTGGCCCACAGACACCTTCAGTATACAGGCAGATAAACATTGTTAGCTCAAATGATCACCAAGCTTTTATGTTGCCTGAAAAAAGACAAAACAAGAAAATCTGGGAACCTTTCAAGAGAGGAACGAGGAGCTCTGATGGAGCCTCAGACCTGCTCGCCCATCCAACACAAAGCATGATGGGAATGTCTACACAATACAAGGCTAAGGTAGAAGCAACACCAT